TGGACTGGTTTGTGCTGGTCTGGACTGGTTTGTGCTGGTCTGGACTGGTTTGTGCTGGTCTGGACTGGTTTGTGCTGGTCTGGACTGGTTTGTGCTGGTCTGGACTGGTTTGTGCTGGTCTGGACTGGTTTGTGCTGGTCTGGACTGGTTTGTGCTGGTCTGGACTGGTTTGTGCTGGTCTGGACTGGTTTGTGCTGGTCTGGACTGGTTTGTGCTGGTCTGGACTGGTCTGGTTTGTGCTGGTCTGGACTGGTTTGTGCTGGTCTGGGCTGGTCTGGACTGGTTTGTGCTGGTCTGGACTGGTCTGGTTTGTGCTGGTCTGGACTGGTTTGTGCTGGTCTGGGCTGGTCTGGACTGGTTTGTGCTGGTCTGAACTGGTTTGTGCTGGTTCAGTGAGACCGGATCTGATCAAACTAACCTCCAGCAGATGTGTGAGATCCACTGAACACCGCGTGTTTGTTTTCTGAAGCCGCTGAACACAAATAAACACATGAATGATCTCAGACTTGTTTTGAGTTATGATACCAGCCCTTCAGTCACACGCATCTGATATCATTCCATCATTTCAAGCCGTAAGTATATTATGTTTAATGTGATGATATGAGCAGATTTATGTTTGCTATTTAACTACAGAGAAAACACATGGTTATTCAGCTTCTGAGTTTAACTTGACCAAGTGAATACATATTGTTTTAGAATATTCAGACATCTATATATTTTATATTTAACACAATTCATATTTTTATTATAATTATATTTATCAATAAATACAATCTTTTTTTATATTTTTTTTTACATAATTTGTTTTAGTAAAATGTTGATAAATTTTTAAGGTAACAAAATGTAATATTTACTGATATACTGATGAGTCTACAGTGGACTATATTTAATAGCATTATGGGTTATAAGACCCAAAACAGCATAGAATATGAGTTATAGTGTAAATAGTTATAAAACAGGTCATCTATTAATAATAAAACAATAAAAATTATCTTCCGAATGTCAACTTCCATATCCTGTTGAAAGGCGTTTATTGTTTGCATTGCATGTTATCAAAATTACATTATGCTTTATGATTAGTTGTCCTAAGATTATGGAAATATACATGCGAGGAATAGCATATTTAAAACAGAAACTAGTTGTTTCTATGTAACTTTTCCTAATCTTATGACAGCTGATCAACAAAAAGCCTGATAAGAGCACAACTTTGGCAGGAGTGTATACAGTACATCTGAAGGTAGCAGGGGCGAATAAAGCGACACGTTTGCCGCAGTGTGTGAAGATGATGAAGATGAAGATGATGTAACTTCAATAACAAAGACACTCTCCGGGCAAATTTACATATTCAACGAACCGCTCACCAACCCGCTGCCTGCTCATTAAATATTCATTAGCGCTCTCCATTCACTCAGAGCGGCCTGGGCGGGGTTTAATCTGAGGGGCGGGCCAAATGCAAATGAGCAATGCGCCTCTGCTCATCGACGCACGATCAGGCCACGCTCGAGCGGCCGCTCTGATTGGTCGACAGCGCCCGATCTTACGACGGCCGTCGCCGAGCGCGAGCCAATCAGAGGAGCGCGTCCCAGCCGAGCGCTGTTTGCGAATGACGTCAATGCCGGAGCGCAAGATGGACGCGTTCGGTCGGTAAGCGCTCGAGCGACACCGGAACCGAGCGAACAGCCGCCGCGCGGAGAGCCCGTGACTCTGAGAGGCGAGTAACGCGAGGATGGACGCCGCCGAGTTCATGGACAGCGTGGACCAGAGCCTGACGGAACTGGGCGATGAGTTCACGATGGGAGACATCGACGGTGAGAGAGGAGGAGGATGATGAAGATCATAAACAAATAAACAACACCGATATACTGTGTGTGTGTGTGTGTGTGTGTGTGTGTGTGTGTGTGAGAGAGAGACAGAGAGAGTGTGTGTGTGTGTCTGTGTGTGAGAGAGTGTGTGTGTGTGTGAGAGGGAGAGAGTGAGTGTATGTGTGAAAGGGTGTGTGTTTGTGTGTGTGTGTGTGTGAGAGAGAGACAGAGAGAGTGTGTGTGTGTGTCTGTGTGTGAGAGAGTGTGTGTGTGTGTGAGAGGGAGAGAGTGAGTGTATGTGTGAAAGGGTGTGTGTTTGTGTGTGTGTGTGTGTGAGAGAGAGACAGAGAGAGTGTGTGTGTGTGTCTGTGTGTGAGAGAGTGTGTGTGTGTGTGAGAGGGAGAGAGTGAGTGTATGTGTGAAAGGGTGTGTGTTTGTGTGTGTGTGTGTGTGAGAGAGAGACAGAGAGAGTGTGTGTGTGTGTCTGTGTGTGAGAGAGTGTGTGTGTGTGTGAGAGGGAGAGAGTGAGTGTATGTGTGAAAGGGTGTGTGTTTGTGTGTGTGTGTGTGTGAGAGAGAGACAGAGAGAGTGTGTGTGTGTGTCTGTGTGTGAGAGAGTGTGTGTGTGTGTGAGAGGGAGAGAGTGAGTGTATGTGTGAAAGGGTGTGTGTTTGTGTGTGTGTGTGTGTGAGAGAGAGACAGAGAGAGTGTGTGTGTGTGTCTGTGTGTGAGAGAGTGTGTGTGTGTGTGAGAGGGAGAGAGTGAGTGTATGTGTGAAAGGGTGTGTGTTTGTGTGTGTGTGTGTGTGAGAGAGAGACAGAGAGAGTGTGTGTGTGTGTCTGTGTGTGAGAGAGTGTGTGTGTGTGTGAGAGGGAGAGAGTGAGTGTATGTGTGAAAGGGTGTGTGTTTGTGTGTGTGTGTGTGTGAGAGAGAGACAGAGAGAGTGTGTGTGTGTGTCTGTGTGTGAGAGAGTGTGTGTGTGTGTGAGAGGGAGAGAGTGAGTGTATGTGTGAAAGGGTGTGTGTTTGTGTGTGTGTGTGTGTGAGAGAGAGACAGAGAGAGTGTGTGTGTGTGTCTGTGTGTGAGAGAGTGTGTGTGTGTGTGAGAGGGAGAGAGTGAGTGTATGTGTGAAAGGGTGTGTGTTTGTGTGTGTGTGTGTGTGAGAGAGAGACAGAGAGAGTGTGTGTGTGTGTCTGTGTGTGAGAGAGTGTGTGTGTGTGTGAGAGGGAGAGAGTGAGTGTATGTGTGAAAGGGTGTGTGTTTGTGTGTGTGTGTGTGTGAGAGAGAGACAGAGAGAGTGTGTGTGTGTGTCTGTGTGTGAGAGAGTGTGTGTGTGTGTGAGAGTGAGAGAGAGAGTGTGTGTGTGTATGTGTGTGTGTGAGAGAGAGAGAGAGAGTGTGTGTGTTCTCATGTGTTCAGCTGTCAATATAATACATTATTTGTATGTATATTAACTCATAATTCATTCAGTAATCAGCTGCAGCTCGGATAGTTAGGTTGACTGTATTATAGTTAGAGAAACTAGAGTAGGTTAGTGTGGACTAGTTCATGAGGACACACTTCTACCACGTGATGATGATGATGATGAATTCATGTGTCCGTTTGAATATCACTGTAATAAATGAAGGAATGTAGGATAATAACAGCATGGTAGGTATTAGTGTTGTTATTAGTGCTGTCAGTGGAATTGTTGATGGATCTGTTATTGTTATTAGTACAGTTCATGCTGTTACTGGTGACGTTATTGTTCTTAAGACTTTACACGACTTTATTGTCATTGTACATGTACAATGAAACTGGATGCTCTGGTGCTGTTATTGGTGTTAGTATAGTTGTTATTAGTATAATGTGTGCTGTTATTGATGTTATTGGTGGTGGTGTTGTTGTTGTGAACGCTTGTGTCAGTCGCTCACGTGCTCAAACACACATGCTGATCATGCGTCAGTCAGTCAGACTGTTCCTCACACAGGTCTCAGATCAGATTCTCTTCAGATGAATCTCACATTGCGCTCCATGTGATAGAGTCAGTGTGCTGCTATTCTGTGAACTAGATGAGCACGAGCTGATCTGCTCTGTGTCTCACAGCCACTCTGTCTGTCAGCACCTGAGGACTAGAGACAGACAGACAGACAAACAGAGGCTGGAGCTGATGCGCTCGTGTGTGAATTATTCGTTTCATGTGTGGGATTCTCCTGCTTCATGAGCATTTCATCACAAAATCACAATACATGACTGACATACTGACAATGGCGCTTGATTCTAATGGAAGGAAGAGCTTTTCCTGCATTATGACTTTATTTTTTATACCAATTTCCTCTGAATTCTCATGGGGGTAACGTGAAAAAATCTAATTTTGGCACAAAACACAAGGCAATAATGTGCAGATATTATCCCAGAAAAGCCCCTGACATGAGCTGAAGATCCGACTGTAGATCTGAAACCCGTCTTCATTTTTCAGACATATCAGAGTCATGCATTAGATGTGTTTTCCCCTTGGTTTCGTGGTGAAATAGGTCATTCTCGTGGCATTACTCCACTGGAAGCACTGGTTGGTTGGGTCCTGTGCGAGCGGAGACTGGTTTCATCTGCCGCAGGTGTGACTGTATCAGTTATTACTGTAATAACACCATAAACCAGTCAAGCAGACACACTGATGTCTGATACGAGGGTGTGTTATCAGTCCTTACCACTCAGCTCTGACCTTGAGTCTCTGACCTTCATCTCATTATCACATGTCAAAGGTCAGGGTCAGGACTGTGTTACACACTGCCAGACAGCAATTGACCTTTTTATAAGCCCCGCCCCCTTTCAACTTTATTTATTTAATAATAAACAAGATGTCCGTGAGTGTGATTATCAGTCGTTTGTTATGCGACTGTGACGCTCGTGATGAACTCTATCAGCACACCGCTGGAGTTATTAATATGGGTCGTATTCAGATGTTAATCTTCACATCTGTGTGTGTTTGTGTGTCACTCAGAGATGCTGCAGTTCGTCAGTAATCAGGTGGATTTCCCGGATCTCTTTGAGGACCAGATGGGGGGTGGAGCCGTGGCCCCTGTGAGGCCCCTCCCTCAGATGACCCCCAGCGCCATACTGACGCCCCCACACACACCCATACAGACTAGCAGCCAGACGCAGACACGCACACCGCCGCTGCTGCAGCCGCGACCACAGCCAATCACACAGGTGAGCCTGACCACACCCCTCACTCTCTGACCACACATCCTTACACATGACTACACACCTCTCACTCTCTGACCACACCTCCTTACACATTACGACACTCCTCTCACTCTCTGACCACACCTCCTTACACATGACTACACACTCCTCACTTTCTGACCACACCTCCTTACACATGACGACACACCCCTCACTCTCTGACCACACCACCTTACACATGACTACACACTCCTCACTTTCTGACCACACCTCCTTACACATGACGACACACCCCTCACTCTCTGACCACACCACCTTACACATGACTACACACCCCTCACTTTCTGACCACACCTCCTTACACATGACGACACACCCCTCCCTCTCTGACCACACCACCTTACACATGACTACACACCTCTCACTCTCTGACCACACCTCCTTACACATGACTACAC